CAAGCCACAACTTGAAAGAGAATATTGGCAAAACACATACCTGATAAAGGACTTGCATCCAAAATACACAAGAAACTCTTAAAACTCAACAATTAAAAAAACCCTCAATTAATAAATGAGCAAACGATGTAAACAGACACAAAGAAGATATATAAATGGCAAAGACACATATGAAAAGATGCTCCACATTATATGTCATCAGGAACAACAAATTAAAACAACAATGCGATGCCACTACAAACCAATCTGAATGGATAAAATCCAAAAAACTGACAATATCAAATGCTTGTGAGGATATGGAGCAATAAGAACTTACGTTTGTTGGTGCTGGGAATGCAAAATCTCACGGCCACTTTGGAAGACAGCTTGGCAGTTTTGTTGTTGTTGTTGTTGTTGTTTTTTTCATAAAGCTAAGCATAATCTTACCATACATTCACACTCCTAGGTATTTACCCAGCTGAGTTGGAAACTTATGTCTACACAAAAACCTTCACATAAATATTTATAAAAGCTTTATTCTTAATAACTAAAAACTTGAAACAACTAAGATGTCCTTTGATAGGTGAATGGGTAAACTGTGATACCTTCATACAATGGGACTTTATTCAGTACTAAAAAGAAATGAGCCATGAACAGACATGAAGGAAACTTCAATGCACATTGATATGTTAAAGAAGCCAGTTTGAAAGACTACATGCTGTATGATTCCAATGATATGACATTCTGGAAAAGGCAAAACCACAGAGATAGTAGAAAGATCAACGATTGCCTGGAATTCTAGGGAAAGAGGGAGGGATGAATAAATGAAGCACAGGGGATTTTTAAGGTTATCAAACAATTGTTGTGAATGATACCACAATGGTGGATAAGTGGCAATGTGCATTTGTCAAAAAATGTAGAAATGTACAACATAAAGCTTGAATCTTGATGTAAGAAGATTCTGTAAGATAATTGAGTAATTTGAGAGACACCGGGAAAAACTACAGAAAGAATTTAATCATATTACAAATGTATGGAAAAACCTCACTGAATAGGGTGGAGGAAAAATTACCTAAGTAATTTTGGAAATGAATGGAATCTGTAAAAATAAGGCAAAAAGAGCTGCATGTAAGTACTATACCCTATTGATAAAGATGTTTCCCATGGTATTATCAGTTAAGAATTCTGATACTTGTTTGCATATGCAAACAATGAATCATGGAACACTACATCAAAAACTAATGATGTAATGTATGGTGATTAACATAACATAATAAAAAAAGATATTATTGTATATAAAATTTTATATCCTGCCTTTTCTCTTAGCATTTGACCATGAACATTTTCCCACTGAATAAAAGTCATTTCTAAAACATCACTTAAAAAAAAAAAGAAAGCATTCTGATACTGTTGTACATATACACTGGGATTGAACAATAAGTAAATGGATGGCGGATGGTTGGGTCAAGGTTACTCATAGTTGGGGTGGGAATATACACATCGACAAGGAATGAGGCTGGAATGATCCATGCGGAAATAGATTACAGTTGCAGACAGTAGTAAGAACTCATGTTTAGCTGAATATATAGACAACTAGACATAGAAATATTTATAGATATGTATGTATACAGGCTAGTACACACATATATTTCTTCATTTTGTCAGGTAAGAGGCCCTAAAATAAATAATGCCTTACGAGCAAAGAGCACACCTTGTATCCAGATCTGTATTTCTTTCTTTTCTTTTTTTTTAATTTTATTTATTTATTTGACAGAGACAGAGGGAGAGATAGAGTACAAGCAGGGAGAGAGGTCAAAGGGAGAAGCAGACTCCCTGCTGAGCAGGGAGCCCAATGCAGGACTCGATCCCAGGACCCTGGGATCATGACCTGAGCCGAAGGCAGACACTTAACTGACAGAGCCACCCAAGCGTCCCTCAGATCTGGCTTTCTAATACCTTTCTCCAATAAAAGGAACCAGGGCTTCTTAGAGAAATGACTGATTCTCAAACCAGGGCATGAGATACACAACACGAGTCTGCAGCACCTTACAGTGCCAGAAAGTAAGAAGTGCTCAAGAAAAGTTACCCACCATCACTGTGGTATGTGCTATGGTGAGTGCTGTGAATTGTGTAAGACTATTGAATCACAGACCTGTACCTCTGAAACAAATAATACATTACATGTTAAAAAAAAAAGAAAAGAAGATAGTAGGAAGGGAAAAATGAAAGGAAGGAATTGGAGGGGGAGACGAACCATGAGACACTATGGACTCCTGGAAACAAACTGAGGGTTCTAGAGGGGATTGGGGGTGGGGGGATGGGTTAGCCTGGTGATGGGTATTAAAGAGGGCACGTACTGAAGGGAGCAGTGGGTGTTATATGCAAACAATGAATCATGGAACACTACATCAAAGACTAAATGATATAATGTATGGTGACTAACATAACATAATAAAAAAAAAATGACACAGAAGTCAATAGAAAGAGCTTCCAATGGCCAAAGCTGAAGCAATTTGAGCAAAAAAATAAAGTAGAATCGGATTATAAGTCAAAGTATAAAATATCCATGCTGTCCATACTGATATAAATAAATGATTGAATAAATTAATAAATGATGGAGAAGAGATAAATCTCCCATGCAGAAGAATTCCAAATAAATTATGTAGAAACTCTGCTCTAAAGGAGAGGGAACATATCTCCCCACTCCTTAAACGTGGGTTGCACATAGCACCTTCCTTCCAAAGAGTATGGTATGGAAACGGGGCAGGGAGTAACTTTACAGTGGAGTACTCTGACAAACACTGTATCAGCTAGGTGATCAAGGTCAACATCAAATTCATAAGTCATATAGAAAATATGTACCCTTGATATGATGTGACAAAAAGGTACTTTACCTCGTGATCTTCCTTCCCAAACCTATAACCCCAGGTTAGTCAAGAGAAAACCACCAGATAAATACCAATAGAGGGACATTCTACAATATACCTGAACAGTATTCCTCAAAACTTTCAAGGTTATCAGAAACAAAAACAGTCTGAGAAACTGTCACAGCCAAAGGGAACCCAAGGAGACAAGACAACTAAATGGAACATGTTATCCTTGATGGCATCCTAGAACAGAAAAAGCACACTTGGGGAAGACTAATGAAATATGAATAAACTGTGGGCTTTAGTTAATGATAATGTGTGATAATATAAAAGATACAAAATAATTTTAAAAGCATAAAATTAATCATGCAAAATGAACAGAATATGTAAAACTAAAGACAAGAAAGAAATGCATCATAAGGTTAAGTTGTTATATCAGAAAGCTACAAATTTAAGCAATTTTTACTTTCCTTTCATTTTAATGGTTTTTTAAACAATTCTTAAATAAGAAGATAGTATTTTTAATATCAAGAAAAAATCCAGCACATTAAAAAAATTGTCGAGGTCCTCCTCAAAACCCCATTTTTATCTCCACGTGGATGAAAGCCAAAAGTCTTTGGCTGACTAGATTATCTCTAAAATTCTTTCCAACTGTAAGATCATGTGAATTACATAAATTATAAGTAAAACCCATGTCCCAGCTATGCATCTGGTACGGACCTAGAAATATTTAATTACCATATGACTCCCAAATATACTGGTTAACATACATTTTGTGCCATATATACTCATAATTTGCTAGTGTCCTAACAACAGACTAGAAATGAGCCCAACCCAGTGTTACATAGTATAGATGCAGTATATTTTTGGTGTAAAATATGTCTTTTTATGTCACTATTTTTTGTTTGTTTTAAATTTCCATCTGACTTTTAAATAGGAGGCATGTTCTTATGTGCAATGTGGAATACAAACTTAGGAAGAATACAGGTTTAGGTAGGAGGTAGGAAACATCTGTAACATAAAGCGTGACTATAAGTTATGCATACATTCTATAATGGGCATTAGTTGTTTGTTTACTTGATTTACTTTTTTAAAGATTTTCATCTATTTATTTGAGAGAGAGAGAGAGAGAGCACGCTCAGAGGGAGAGTGAGAGGGAGAAGCATACTCCCTGCTGAGCAGAGAGCCCTATGCAGGGCTGGATCCCAGGACCCTGAGATAATGACCTGAGCCAAAGGCAGATGCTTCACCAACTGAGTCACCCAGGTACCCCTGTTTCTTTGCTTTCATTTTTTTGAAATTTTATTATGTTATGTTAGTCACCATACAGTACATCATTAGTTTTTGATGTAGTGATCCATGATTCATTGTTTGCATATAACACCCAGTTCTCCATGCAATACATGCCCTCCTTAATACCCATCATTGGGTGAACCCATCCCCCCACCCCCTACCCCTCTAAAGCCCTCAGTTTGTTTCTTGGAGTCCATAGTCTCTCATGGTTCATTTGCTTTCATTTTAACAGTATTTCATGTGCATATCACCCATAGGCTACTATCAGTAACTATTGAAGAGATTTAGAAGATGAAATCTTAAAAGAGAGGCATCCTGGAAGTTGAACAAAGTGAGAACTTCAGTATGGCTAACTGAATTAGAGAATCAATAATTTTTAAATATAGAATAGGCCTAACCATATCAATTTTGGACTATACAAGAAATGGACTGAACTAAGGTAGCATAATATGCATTCATGTATAAATAAGGCTATACACAATTTAATCAAGTTGTAAAATGGCCTTGGGGACAAAAACTGGAGATGAACAACTAGCCTGCAGATATTTGGGATGTAGGTGGTACCTATGCTGGGCTCCACTGTCACATTCTACTCTTGAATCTTTAAGTTTTACTCAACCACAACTTACCCATGTGTGAAAATGAGGAAGACATCACAACAGAAATTAATGATTAAAAAATCGGGACAGACATATTGAAATGTTTCTGAAAAAAAAAAAACCTATCCATCTTCATAGCATTAGGTTTCCATTTTGTCTAATTTAGCTTTGAGTATAATAAGTCAAAAAACAACTATAAGTTAAAATCCGACTATTAAAATCAGGAGATGGCAAGCACTTTGTTTCCTTTTCTAGCCTTTACCTTCTGGCTCATTTTTGATGAGCTCTTCCATTTTCCTCTGCTTCAAGGTGTCAACAACATCAGCTAAGCTGCCTTTGCGCCGTTCGGGAGTTCCTAGGGCCGTGCTGGACAAGGACTCACCACTCTGCCTCCCACCTTCTTCTGCCTTCTGAGGTGAGGTAGATGAGTTGTGTGGGGCAAATGAAGACATAACTTTATTGCCATCAACTTCCTGAAAGAGAAAGCAAAGGAAAAAATTGTTTAAAATTCAGTGATTTTTTTTTAAATTGCTTATGTGGCTTATTTAGCTAAAACATGAAAAAGTGAAATGTCACTCTGCAAGAGTAAGATAAATAAAGAAATTTTTTTTAAAAAAAGAATGCATTAACTTTATGGGTTGGCACAGAGTAAGTCAAAGATCAATTCATAGAAGAAATAAAAATATGGAGGCTCTCTCCCTTAGACTGAGAACAAATGGCAATAAGCCTTATACAAAGCCTACATTGATCAGATGTAGTTTTCTGCTTTTCTTTGAAAGTCTTAGATTTTCCTATGGACATTAACTGCACTAGTCATCTGGCTTAAACTTCCTCATGATATTGTAATATTTAAACAAGTAACATTATGCACTTCACTTTTTGTTTTAAATAACTGCCTCTTCTTGATGGTTGCTCCTGATTAAAGCAGGGCCCGTTTTTTAGTTCTCCACTTCCCTCTCATGCTTTTAAGAAAGAATCAGCCACACAGGTTATTTTGAAATCAGATAGGAATATTGAAAGCCCATTTCTGCTGATGCCAAAGATATTTCCAATTCCATTTGTTACCCCAAGCATTGTTTCTGTCAATATTCTTCCAGATTTTGCTCTTTAAGCCCCACATGCCCTCTAAAATAAAGTTCCTTGCAATCTTTCCCTCTTCATAATTGCATATGTGTATGAAAAGAATTTATTCTATAATCCTAAAATTTAAACACACATTTGGTGTTCTTTTGTCATTATTTTCCCCATAATTTCTCGACCAACTCTAGCTATCTAATATTTGGGGTATCTTTTGTATAAAAGGCACTAAATTGATTTTTCAGACATCTGTGAGAGGAATGATATTGAAATTATCAAAAAAATAATATTCTTACTTAAAGGTTTTCTTTTTATAATCTCTTACTTCTATAATCCTTTGACTTCCCACAAAGCAGATTTCTTCTTAAAAATAGAGTTGTATCCTGGGCGCCTGGGTGGCTTAGTCGATTAAGCACCTGCCTTTGGCTCAGGTCATGATCCCAGGGTCCTGGGATCGAGTCCCGTATCAGGCACCCTGCTCAGCGGGGAGCCTGCTTCTCCCTCTGTTCCCCTGCCTCCTCTTGTGTTTTTCCTCTCTCTCGCACAAAAAAATAAAATCTTAAAAAAATAAATAAAATTGTATCCTAAGATCTTTGAGGAAGTAATTAGTCTCTCTGTAAGTTATTTCTTAATTCTATAGTATTAAAAGTTTCCATTAAAATACATTTGAATGTATGCACATCTAATATTCAGGATAATAGGTTATATCCCTGTTTAAACATTTCTTCTCTAAGATGTGTTAATAGGATCTCTTAACCCCAGAAAAGTGACAGATCACACTGATTTGATACCTAATGTTTTTAAGATTATTTCTAATATATTTGACTAGGTTAAAAATATACTAAAAAGACTTGATAAAGCTGTCATTTTAATTTTTAAAAACAGATTAAAAATAGAGATGTCCACACAAACATAATCATAATCTGTTCATATGATTTTTTTGTTCGTGGATAGTAGTGAATACAAGGACATTAGCCACAGTGCAAGTGTCAGTTTGTTGGGTGGTGCTAGGTAATGCGGAAAAAGTCAAAGTAAAAAATGTGTGCAAACAGAATCTTCAAAATTATAATTCTACACCGAAAATGGTTTCCATTTCTTACCAACATTACAGAATATGCAGAAAACATTACTATGTCTTGAATGAATATTCTATAGACAATACATTCAAAGATGAATCTTAGCTTATTATGTACTTGGATTTGGAAATCAATATGCATAATGTAATCATTACAAACCCCTGCAGGCTAAGTGAAGATACACTTCTAGAATTATTTATTTAAAATCCATACATAAATACAAGCAAACCCATAAACACACACACACACACACACACACACACATCCCTGACAAGAGCTATCACAAACCCATTCAGTAAACTAAGGAATGTTTTTATGAATGGCCCATAATACACATTAGCTCAGTTTCATGTTCAAAACAGAATATAGCAAAACCTCTGTATTTTTTCCACAGATCTTTCTTCTCACTATTTCCAGGGTCAGAGCAGAAAAACCCCATGTTGAACATTTCTATTCTATACTCTGTTTTTACATTATATGATGACAAACTTAACAAACAAGAATTTGGCAGCTGAACTTCATTTTCCATAATTAAAAATTACATGTATCTTTCTATAGCAACTTCAGTAGAGGGAAGGACACCCAAATTGTACACAATCACATCTATTAAAAATCAGAAAATATTTCAAAATCAAGTAAGATAAAATAACATCCCATCTTGTATGTCTCTAATTTTCTACACCTTGCAAAAGACAAAGACATATTTTAAAGAGTTTAACATCATTTTGCAAGTATTCTAAACTCAATTACCACAACAGTATTAAAAATTATCACTGCAATTTCATGCAAAAGTATTTTATCTTATTGCTATTTCACCTGTCTGATTACATTTCAGCCTCTAGTACTGTTAATCCCTTTAACAGTTTTATGTAGTTAACAGATGTTTCAGTGTGGGACTCCATTGTTCATTTGCATGGTGAAGAGCTTGTTAAAAAAATGTTGGCACAGTCTTCAGTCAAGAAAGTCCTATAGTTTTCCATTTCTTCCCTGGGATTGCATTTACCATGTCTAAAATAATGACTGCATTTTCCTCTTCACTTTGCTGGTAGGTGAACATCCAGAGAATCTACTAACAGAAGTATTGTTGGTCCAAGCCAGCAAAATATATTTCATCAAGTTTTGTGAATGCTAAAGGCAAGCTTCGGTATTTTGCCATAGAGCTCTCACAAATATGATATTTGATTTCTAAGGTCTAATGATAAAAGAGGGTTCTAAACTTTTAGAACAAAGTTGGTAATCTTCCTTTGTTACACTTGAAAAAGCTTTACTTAATCCTGCCCCCCTTTGTCACTTTTGCAACCTTAAGACAAAGGAAGGGATCTGCCTAGTGTATCTATCTTTATTTAAATAACTTTTTAAAAAATGCATTCTTAAACTGGGAGAAGTCACTCTGAAAACAGTATGCAGTTTCCTCAAAAAGTTAAAAATAGAACTACCCTATGACCCAGCAATTGCACTACTAAGTATTTACCCAAAGGATACAAAAAATACTGAGTCAAAGGGGCACATGTTTACAGCAGCATTATCAACAATGGCCAAACTATGGAGCTATGGGAAGAGCCCAAATGTCCATCAACTAATGAATGGATAAAGCAGATGTGATAGATATATAAAATGGAATATTACTTAGTCATCAAAAAGAATGAAATCTTGCCATTTGCAATGAAGTGGATGGAGCTAGAGTGTATTATGCTAAGCAAAATAAGTCAGTCTCAGAAAGACAAATACCATATGATTTCACTGATATGTAGAATTTAAGAAATGAAACGTGAACATGACAGAAAAAAAGAGAGAAAGGCAAATGAATTCTCTACTATAGAAAACAAACTGAGGGTTGAGGAGGTGAGGTGGGGGGGATGGGTTAAATAGGTGATGGGTATTAAGGAGTGCACTTGTGATAAACAGTGTTATATATAAGTGATGAATCATTAAACTCTACTCCTGAAACTACCATTACACTATATGTTAACTAACTAGAATTTAAATAAAAAATTGAAACAAAAAAATGCATTCTTGTTAATTCGTTCTAAATATAGCACTTGGCTATGAACACTTTGAGAGACATATTTCAACATTAATATTCAAATTTTAGTTTAGATAACATGGTGATTAAGAAGAATTAATTCCTTTGAAAAAAGAGGTTATATGTGACTCAACCAGATATATATTCATTGTCCAAATGACACTTCATCCTTGACTTCTGGCCTCAAGAAATACATTACCATATTTGCTTTTCAGTCCTATAAACTCAAGTTAAATTAATACAGGGTAGCAAGAACATTACATTTAATAGTCTGTCTATCCAACTATAATTGGTAAGAATAATAGCCAATATTTACTGAGTATTTACTTTGTGTCAGGCACTGTTTAAAGTGTGTTATATGCATTAATTCAGTTAATTCTCCTGGCAAGCCTAATTATGATTTGCACTTCGTAGCTGGAGAAACTGAGGGACATGGAGTGAAGTAAATGCCTGAGACTGTGTGATTAATAAAAGAGTAGATAATCAACTGCAACCTGTTAGGCACCAGAGCCCTCAACTACAGTGCTAATACTACCTCTCTTTAAAAACAACAACAACAGGGGATGCCTGGTGTCTCAGTTGGTTAAGAGTCTGCCTTCTGCTCAGGTCATGATCCTAGTGTCCTGGGATGGAGACCTGCATCAGGCTCCCTACTCAGTAGGGAGTCTGCTTTTCCCTCTCCTTCTGCCTCTCCCCCCGCTTGTGGTGTCTCTCCCTCTCTCTCTCTCACATAAATAAATAAAATCTTTAACAACAACAACAAATACCTAAGTATGTCAATGTTATAGGTGAACAAGATACACTGTCATCTGCTTAATAATTGTGAAAATGAGAGGGTTTTGCCCCAATATGTCCAACTCCTAAAAAAAAAATTATGTAAGTGCATTGAAATGAACTAATCCAACTATATTCTAGACTTATAAAGCTGTCTCCATCTAAATATCCACTGGTGGGGCCCCTGGGTGGCTCAGTTGTTTAAGCAACTGCCTACGGCTCAGGTCATGATCCTGGGGTCCTGAGATTGAGCCCTGCATCGGGCTCCCTGCTCATCGGGGAGCTTGCTTCTCCCTCCCCCTCTGCCTGCCACTCCCCCCGCTTGTGTGCTCTCTCTTTGTCAAATAAATAAACTCATAAATAAACTCATAAATAAATAATAAATATCCACTGGTTTATGCCATATTCAAAATAAAGAACCTTAAAATTTAAATAATTATTTAAACCAAACATACAGATTTGATCTCTAAGTGACTATTCAAAATCATGATGCTCAATCATTTATGACTTTTTAACCTATCTT